CTCTGATGAAGAGAAAGAATAGAGAGAGTCTTCATAAATAATGCAATTTTGGCATAGATAGTAACGATCTTGGTACTTTATTCTGACAGTTTCAGTACCCTAGGACTGGTTTTAATGCAGGTACCTACCCTTGGGTTTGACCCTTTGACCATGTCAGGATGCCTCTTTAAAACAGACATTTGTCTTTTAGAACAGACTACTCCCTTGTCTTAGGATCCCTTTTCCAAGAAACATCGTTGGTATATTACACTCATTTTCTCAAAGAGGATGGTTACTCCCTCTGAGTCATACAACTGTACACACGTGGATTTATTAATAATAATCCATACTTCATCCAATTTTCCTCCTGTCTGTAGTTTTAGAGGAAATTAGGAACAATGTCATTACCAATGTGATGACATTCGGTCAGACATAGTCTTCTTCAGTTTTGAACACATCATTCCAATAGTTGATAAGGTGTCACACTTTATATCCTACGAGTTTGACGAAGACCTTTTGTACAAACCAATACTCCCCCTGTTAGGGACAATCACTTCTCCTCGTGAAAACAAGTAGGACACATTCAATACTCAGTTAGACCTTCAATACAGCTTCTGATTAAAGTAAATAAGACCCCTTGATGAATGGAAAACATAAGACTCATCTTCATGTCTTCAAGAGCGCACCCTCTGTTCAACAATATTGTTTGAACGCATTCATACTGTGAATCGAACTTTCTCGATAATAATCAGCTGTCATATGTTGATTATCTTGATTCTCAGAATTCACTGCTGAGATAGACCAAATTCCACTGTTTGATTATCTCCTTCATGAATCAAATGTCACCTTCATGTTTATCAGACTTCTTCCAAAGATATTCTGATCTTCCAATTGAAATTTGAACTTCAGGCTACAAGTTATCACAAAAGGCTTAGATACACTGAGACAGGAACATGTAACAACTCCAAAGAGCTGCAAAGAGACGATCCTTTTGGAGGATCTAATCTTCAACTTCGTAGATCATCCTATTTGAACCAAATGTCGCAGCATTATGTTATAACATCTAGTTGTTGAATTCAGCTCCAGACTGATCCAAGTGACCATCATCAAGATCATGATGTCTTCTTCTTCTTTAAGTCTGAACATGTTTCCAGGAAACCTTTTCAAGGATCAAACGATTTTGCTGTCACCAAGGAGATAGATCTAAGGTATCACTCTTCCTGTGATTCTTCACAGGGTCTAGAAGAAGGAATGTTCCCACATCTTTAAGAACATCAGTTATCTTGAACTCCAAGGATAATCAATTAAGTACTTGTACTTGTTGCTAATAGCAATTGATCATAGATCCTTCCCATTATCCAGTAAGATACTTTCACCATTTGAATACTTTGACATACTCTTCGTGTGTTAATATCTTCTTCTTGCAAGCTTTTTCTTTGAGAGACCAAAGAGTTGAGATATCTAGGTTGCCACCCTTGACTCAAGAAAATAGAATTTTCTCTGAACAAACTCTACTTACTTCAACCGACTTGAGACTCCTACCAGATCAGATTCATCATTAGGAATGAGAGAGATGAATCCTTCCTTGCAAATATGTCACACAACAACCAGAACCCATGTGACATAGGTCAACAGCTAGCTAAACACCAGGCTGAACTAATGTGAGGAGGTTAACCAAATCTCCCCCTCAAGCTATCAGTCATGGAAGCTCCACACAAAATATCCATGCATGTGCACAAACGTCTCGACATGACATATGACATCCCTACCAGATCTACTTAACTCCAAGAGCTATACCTTAACCAAACTCTGAGTCTTCATATTCAAGACTCATGATCCCAATCTACTTCTATGAAGGAGCAATAGTGCTGCACCATCATTGGCTTTTATTAACCAGTGAGCTTATCTTTCTTCACATCATAGTACTTCAGGAAACAATTGCTCAGCCCTGATCAATGTCATATCTCAACCAGCTTTACTTCTAGAGTTCTGACTCCTAAAGTAACCTTCGGGAGTACACAGACATAGTTGTCTTTACCATTGTCAACTTTGCACACGCAGATGTCTCCTCTTCCAAGTCAGGAGTAGGTTTCAAACAAAGGTATCCCTTTGTTTGACACCCGAAACATATGCTCTTCAACTAGTAGCTACATCCTTGAAATTCTTCAAGGTCTTCATATAACACTAATCCGTGATTATGTGATTCTTACCATCCTGAACGAAGAACGTCTTCATGAGTGGACTTGAGAGGACTCGAGTATCTGTGACATCTCCAATAGTTTATGTTGAATTCTTGAATACAATGGCCTTCAATCCACAAGAGGGGAAACACATCAGAGCTTGAGTTTTGCCAGGTATTACACAGCGGAAGAACATAATACACCCCAATCTTTGCACACACACTCCACCAGACTAGCCTTCAAAAATAGACCAAGTCTGATTATGGTTCAAACCTAGCATGACTACTACACACAACTTCAGGCATACACACATCCTAAGTTTGAAAATAAATCAAACCTAGAGCAGCTATCACACAACCAGGCCAAATGCCAATCACCAGAGACAGGTACACACAATTCCTGTCAAGAATAGTCCATCCTCCCACTTCAAGGGACCATTCAGGGAAATAGAAAACCATTCCAGGTTACAATCTTCAGTACTAAAATTGACCTTGTAGATACCAGAAAGTATCACCCATGGATCTCATCCAGAAACAGAACAGGATGCCTGCTCTGATACCAATTGAAATTCTGGTGTATGCCAGTCTTCAGATGTTATACTTAATGTCTAAACATCTGATATGACATAATAAATACACTGGAAGGTAGATACCCAATTTTTATGATTTAGTACTGAAGAGTAACATAAGCACAGTTTAACCAAGCTGTGCCAGACCTACTTTGAAGGTGCAGAGGATAGAACACCGATGTGCCTAATTCTGTTCATCTGTTGCACATGATCAGCAGAGAGCAAACAGCCTTTGCAGTTCTATTTCTTCTGCACAATGTAGCGGTGAAAATTGGAGATCAAGCTATTAATTAACTTGACTCGCAAAAGCAAGAGTCGCCACCGCGCTTTATTATTTCCAAGGGAAAAGGGAAAAGAGCGAAATAAAACCCTAAAATATGCAACGTAAAATAATACTCAAAAGTAATAAAAAATACAATGCGTTTTTGAAAGAGATCGAGAGTTCGGGGGTTGGTTATACAATGGGAAGGTGTTAGCACCCAATACATCTGCGGTACTCCGCAGGAACCTTTTGAAATATCTGTTTTTTGGTTTAAAATTGTTTGTTTGATTAAAATGATTCGTTTGGCTAAAAGATGGGTATGGACGAGATTTTTGAAGATACGACGACCTAGTGTCGAAGTTTTGACTTAAAAAGGTGTGAGTTTGAAAATTGAATCTTTTGGAAAAATTATCTTAGGTTTAACAAAATAGTAAGCAAGCAAAAAATGAATGAGGGTGTTCGCTTGATCGTATTAGATATATTTGATGACGTGAAGTCAACATAATTAAAATATTTCCCTTGGAATAAATGGAGCGAGCAAAATAAAATAGACATCGAAATATAAGCAATCAAAATTCACAAGAAAATAAATATAACTAAACGGATTAATGACCTAAGGGCGCCGAGAAATTAAAATGGCAAAGAATTTTTAAATACAAATAAGGAGGATGTAATTAATTATTTAGAAAAATTGTTTAAACTAAATTAAAATCCTAAGGTTATTTACTAAAATAATTCTACTAATTACAAAATTCTAAAGTTATAAAATTATTAAAGCTCTAAAATTAATAAATTATATCTAAACTAATTTAACTATAAACTAAATTAATCCCAAGATTGCCAATTTAAATTTGAACTAAACTAATTATAAGAAAAGGTGAAGCAGAAAATTAGGAGGGTGTATAGATAGCAAGCTCTGTATTGAGAGCAAAACCCATCCAGAAAAGGCCCAGGAGTTATCTTTTTATTGTAAACAATTTCAGAATTAAAAATTCAATGGGCCTCAGATGGCCCGGCCGGCCCAATCAATAACATCCATCCACATTGCTTAATCATGTTAGGATTATTGAATTAAATTAATAGATAAAAAGAAAAGAGTTATAATAAGACAAACAATTAGAAAAGGGATTAGGGTAAGGAGAACATCACATAGTACCTTTGTCCCCTCAAAATTGCAACAGCGGCGACGATAGCAATTTCCTCGAAACTCTGAGCAACTCCGAGCGACAAAGCACCACTAGCGGTTGCGGCGGAGGTGGAGTAAACGAACTCGTTACCTGACTCAACACAATGAGTTCCAAACTCGTTACATGCAGCTTGCGATTTTCGATCCTGATGCTGATGCCGAGTCTGTTGTTGTTGCTGATGGTGATTCGCCAGCGAAGATGAAAGAGATTTGAGGGTTAACAGCGGCGCGAGAGAGATGGAGTGGTAGCCGTGGGGTAGAGGGGTTGATTAGCTGCTCGGAATTGGTTCACGAAGAAACGCCGTGGCTCTTCGTTTGATTCGGTATTTTTGTTTTTCTTGTCGTTTTCATTATTTCCTTTGCGCTTTACCTTGTTCTTCTCACTCGCCATTTTTCTTCTTCCTTTGCTTGCGTATGCCAACTCTTCCATCCTCATCAATACTTGATAACACACACCCCATTTACATGAGTTCAGTTGATGATAACACTAACCCACAGTCAAAGATATAACCCAAATAACCACCCTGGTGTTAGTAACAAGTTGTTGCAATAATTTTCCAGCAGAGACCTTGTTAATGGTTGTTATTGCATAGGTTTTGAAGTGAAGTATATGTAATGATGTTTGTATTGCAGAGAAATTGAGTTGGTCTAACAGTGAGAGAGCATGCTGGATTGTGTACCGGCGGTGACAGGTGGTAGAGGACAATGTCGATGTGGTTGTTTGAATGAAGGTCTGTTTGAAGGTTGATAGAAAAGATGTTATGTGATGTTGCTGAAGTTTGATAGTAGTGAGGAAGGTTGATGAATTGGATGAAGAGGGTTACGATGTGGATGCTGGGAGTTGAGGTTACGGTGAAGATGGTTGGGAGAAAGATGGAATGGTGAGTGGAGTTTGGTGAGCTGGGAGATGGAAGGATGGCGGAGGGAATTGGACAGGGTGTTGCGATGGTGATGATGCTGGATGACAGTAGAAGGGTGGTTGTTGCACAGGAGATCGGTGATGGAGATTGAAAATAGTTTTTATGGCTGGAAGGGAGAAGGTTCACAATTTGTAATGTGATGCAAACTGGACGGGTGGATATGTGTTGTCTGCAGATGGCTTTGGTGCAGTACGGCTGCGGAGGTGATGAAATCGCGGTTGTCAATTTGCATCGGTCCAAAGGGATGGTTCATGGTGAATAGAAAGCTAGATGGGATACTGTTTCTTTTTGTGTTTTGTATCCTTTGTTTTTCAGCAGGTCATGTTCTGTCGTTTTTGTTCTAAACCTTGAGGTTTTATTAGAAATTTTCCACAGGTTTTTACTTTGTTTTCCCCCCTTCAGAATGAATTTTTGGAGGGAAAATTTGTGGGTCTTGGACAAATTGATATGCTGATTTTTCCCTTTCTAATGCAGGATTTGCATCCTCTATTTTTGTGAAATTTTATACTGCTTTTGGACAGGTTTTTGGCATTATTTGTGCAGAATTTTGACTTGTTTTTGGACAGGTTTGACAGGATTTGGAGCAGCATTGCAGTAGCATGTTTTTGGGACTGATATGCATACAGTATGGATAATTTTGAAGCAAGGTTTGGACTGTTTTGAAGTGTTTGTAGCAGCTGATTTATGGACAACATTGGTACAAGTTATGGAGCAATTTGATGCATCATGAAGCAAGGAAAATGGGCTTGAAAATAATAGCATAGACTTAGACTTGGTGTTTTGAAAATTGATGAAGGATAGTTTAAAATAGGCTTTAGGATTTACAATGTTTTTTTCATGTGATTTTGTGGCTATAATATTTGTAATGAAATTTGAAATTTGTAACAAGTCTTGAATTTGGATGTAACTTTAAATATTTCATTTGAGTTTGGAATGAATTTGTCTTGAGATTTTTTTTGAAATTGCAAACTTGAAATATGCCTAAAAATTAGCATGATGCATTCTCCACTTTTGAACTAGACATGAAAAAAATATCCTCGAATCAATGATCTTGAAATTTTCTTTAAAGTTTGTATCAAATTCCTGGATTGAAAAAGAACTTTTCCTTAGAAATAGTCCTAGTAGAATTGATGGACTTTTGTGAACTTATCTTGAAGAATATTTGCAAACTTGTCATTAGTACTTGAGTGAACAAATAGTATCTTAAGAGCCTTGGTAAAAAAAATTCATCATAATTTGACAATCACTTATACTCAAATGCAAGTGACTTGAAACAAGCGCCAAACAATTTAAAGAATTCTTAAACTCATCATCATGTGTCATGAACAAACTCATCATAAAATTCAATATCTTTAGAGAACAATTATGGCATGAATTGTGGCTTGGAGATTAAGAATATTCTAGGTTATGAGAATGACCTATAACGTTTCAATAAATTCCAATAGCCTTCAAAGCATAATATGACAACATGCAAAAAGAACTGTCTCAAAATATTGGAAATTTATGATCCTTTGAACTTGATCTTGAAAAAGTTGGATTTTTTTGGTCGAAGTGCTTTAAATCATCTCACATAGCCTGATCTTTCTTCGCATTCTAAAGCATCTCGATGCACATGTAAACCAGTGGTGATGAAATTTTGATTGTGCTCTGAGGAAGTTGTGGAGAAGTTTGAGAGGTTAAAAATCGGCCATATTTCGCGCCCTTAATTTCTTTGAATAAAAATGCCAATGAAGATGGGATCTTAGGTCAAAAATTGGGGTACAACAGCTGCCCCTATTTAAGTTTCTTCTATCTGGAGATATGAAGATTGGGATCTTCATTTCGACGAGATTGAAGGGACTTAAATATAGAATACACAATTTTTGGCCTTAAGATACCGCGATTATGTTCATGATATGATATGAATGTGATGCTCTGAATTTTATGGGGAATGACGCCATATGAGACAGACTGTGCTGGAGAAAACCAAGCACATTATACAGTAATCCCAGAGAGGAAGAGGTTGTAACTCCACTGGGGAAACAAAGTCATAGACTTCAAGTGAGAGGCTCTTGAATGATTTACATCAGTATTGGGAATGGAAAAGGTAATGATTGATATCAGCACTGTGACTGGAAAAGGAAATGATGGACATCAGTAATGAGACTGAAAAATGATTGACATCAGCACTGTGGCTGGAAAACAAAATGATTGACATCAGCACTGTGGCTGGAGATGAACATCTCTGATTTCTGAATTTTACCAAGAACGGTAACACATTTCTGCTCTAACCAAGATATCGCTTGAAAAGGATAAAATAACAAACTTCCCCACGGGACTTTTTCCGAAAGGGATGCCATTTGCTGAGTAGACATTATTGTTGGGGATACACAAGCTGCTCAAATAAAGAGGCCGCCACTTGCTATCTTTCAAAGGTGTCAATAACATACAAGTTGCTCACGAAGAGACCGCCGCTTGCTGTTTTTAAAGGTGACAACAACATACAAGTTGCTCATGAAGAGGCTGCCGCTTGCTGTTTTCTCTAAAGTATCAGTAACATACAAGTTGCTCATGAAGAGACCGCCGCTTGCCGTTTTCAAAAAGTGTTGATAACATACAAGTTGTCCATGAAGAGACTGCCGCTTGCTGTTTCTTTTCAAAATTACCAATAACACACAAGTTGTCTCATGAAGAGACTGCCGCTTGCTGTTTTCTTAAAAGGTATCAATAACACACAAGTTGTCTCATGAAGAAACTGCCGCTTGTTGTCTTTTCAAGGTATCAATAACACACAAGTTGTCTCATGAAGAAACTGCCGCTTGTTGTCTTTTCAAGGTATCGATAACACACAAGTTGTCTCATGAAGAAACTGCCGCTTGTTGTCTTTTCAAGGTATCAATAACACACAAGTTGTCTCATGAAGAAACTGCCGCTTGTTGTCTTTTCAAGGTATCGATAACACACAAGTTGTCTCATGAAGAAACTGCCGCTTGTTGTCTTTTCAAGGTATCGATAACACACAAGTTGTCTCATGAAGAAACTGCCGCTTGTTGTCTTTTCAAGGTATCGATAACACACAAGTTGTCTCATGAAGAAACTGCCGCTTGTTGTCTTTTCAAGGTATCGATAACACACAAGTTGTCTCATGAAGAAACTGTCGCTTGTTGTCTTTTCAAGGTATCGATAACACACAAGTTGTCTCATGAAGAAACTGCCGCTTGTTGTCTTTTCAAGGTATCGATAACACACAAGTTGTCTCATGAAAAAACTGCCGCTTGTTGTCTTTTCAAGGTATCGATAACACACAAGTTGTCTCATGAAGAAACTGCCGCTTGTTGTCTTTTCAAGGTATCGATAACACACAAGTTGTCTCATGAAGAGACTGCCGCTTGTTATTTCTCAAAAGATACCCATAAAATATTGCTGGAGGTGAGAATCAATAATTTCATCGAGGATGGACAAACTACTCATGAAGAGACCGCCATTTGTCGTAGAGAAATCAGAAATAATCAAACTACTCAAGTAAAGAGTCAGTCGCTTGGTGTCATGTCAATATTCCAGAAGAAGGTTGTGATAACACTGCTGGGGAATAAAATTCATCTTCAATGGGGAACCATGAATAAGTCCTTCTTGAGGAGACCAAGTATTTACATTGCAAAATAAATGCACTTTCCATCTAGGTTTCACAGCCTAGAGAGATCCACAGGGTATCGTTCACAAGAGACAAAGCTCAATCCAGGAAAATGGAGAGAAAATAGTTAAACAAGACTCCACCCAATGAGGAAACAACTCAAATGGGGATTTATCCTATCCAGAGATGGAAAAGGAAAGCTAAAGCAAGATTCTTCCACGAGAGTTAACTCAGTGGGGAATTAGAAAGGAGGCGCACTTTCTGCTTAAGTTGACATTCTATTTGGAAAGATCAAATACGCTATTTGAATAGACATAACCAAGGTATACGTACTCAAAGACATCAACAAATACAACTGTGCATGCATGATGCAAGTGTGAATGAACAAATGAATGTCATGTATATGCTGACAAAACAGACAGGGGAGATGGACAGAAAATGATAAGACATCACAGTACAACTCGACACTCGGCTAATCTCAACAGGATGGTAACATTACTGGAGATAGGAAACAAAAGCCATCATTGGAGCAAAGTCCTTTTACAAGGCTTAAATCTCTTTGGAGAGGAAGATATTTTCAGGTAGAAAACCCAAAGTCCAGTCTTCTATCGCAAACAATCCATTGAAAGGATAACAACACAAACAAAGTTTCAGCTGGAAAGAAGTCTTGCTTAGCTGGAGATACTGGGAACACCACCCTCTGATAATGTATGAAAAACATATCTTGACAAATCTGGATTGCCCCTGGGATTAATTTTGGATGCCCCAAGTTTACTGCTGATAAGCTGCGTGATGCACGACAATTCTTGCGAATAACTTCACTTCTAAAATGCCCCAAGCTATATGGCTGATGAGGAGAAATCGTCCCAAGAGGATTTTACAAAAGACCTGGCATCCACCATGCTCTGGTGTCTTCAAACTCTTAGAGAGATTCGTCAAATCTCGACATGATTGCCCCGGATTGACTGTAGTTGGCACAATAAAGTCTTCAAATTTTTGCCCCAAACGAGCAAACAAGTTGGGAAAAACGTTAACTGGGAGAAGCAACATGTTCGTGCTTACGGTCTTCAGGTGACATGCCCCTGGATATGATTTTTCTTGACGTGATCCGCCAATTACTCAACATAGTTTCAAGCCTTAAGAATTTACTCATCATTGGTGCTTATATGTGAATTTCCTTGATATCAAACAAATGTTTTGCAGTTAGAAAAAGTTTACAATGAGAATGAAAATTCTAATGCAACAGTTATGTAAGTCTTGAAGATTTTGAAAGATATCGCACAAATTTTGCGAGTTAAAGCACCATTTATTTTTGTATAGGAAAAACATATGATACCAACATAACTATTTAGAACATTCATGGGAGTCAGGAACACTATCTCATTGAAGTATGCTTTCAAAATAACCTTGCTTCAATTAGGACTTTTGAAGGTTGTAATGTGGTCTGGTTCATGGTTTTAGAAAAAAAGATTTAAAGGCTCAAAATATTTGGTGCCCACCCATTCTTCATGATGTTCTCCAACCCTATGTTCAGTTAATTCAACATGAGTGTTCATCTCTCAAAAGGATTTTGTGACGGTCAAGGAAACGACGAGGCTTTCAGAGTAGAAACCACCCTCATGTCTTCGTGTTTGTAGTCACAAATTTGCTCTTTGTTGAGGACTTTTCTTTGCAGTCCTTTTCTTTGCAATTTTATTTTCCCTAACTTTTGCCTGAACTAATTCTTTTGAATTGATAGTCCAGCGGGATGCCTTAATTTTGCCTAAGTCACACGTTTTCATGTTTTTTGACTTAGCAGGCTTTTTCTTTTTTCTCGATTTTTGACTTTTTGAACAAAATGTGTGACATTAGCTTGTATTTGCTTGTTGAGAAGATTGTGATTGCCTCGTTTCTTGATGAATGAGGGATAACATTATGATTCCACATCTTCTGGCTTCATTATACATGAAAGATAGCCCTCGTAGTTTCTCTTCAAAAAACATCTTCCTTATGAATTTCGAACACTCAGTCAGATTAACTAAAAACTACCCTGCCCCAGGTTAAAATTCAAGGTTTTTTCGTATAAAAAGGAACTTCTACTTCAAGGCTCAAAAGGGGTTAGCAAGGGATTATCTTCCTTA